AGTGGGGGCAGTTTGGGCTGTAAGGTGGGGTTTGGGGGGCAGGAAGGGGGGTTTGGGTTGCCCCATGTTCTGGAAGTGTGTTTTGGGGTGCCAGGGTGAGTTTTGGGGTGCAGGGGGAGGTTTTGGGGTGTAGGGCGGGGGGTTGGGGCTCAGGGAGAGGTTTTGGGGTGCAGAGGGGGGCTTCAGGATGCTCTGCATCCCTTTTGGGGTCCAGGGGGTTTGGAGGGCTCTGAGGAGGGAATTTGGGGGGTTCCAGGTGGGATCTGGAACACCCCCCATAACCCATGGATTTCTGGGTTCCTCCCACAGGCCCTTCGACCCCCCCAGCCCCCCCCAAACCTCCCCCAGCCCCCCCAAAAAAGGGGCTTTTCACGGACGACCTGCACAGGCTGGTGGACGAGTGGGTGCAGGACACGGCCCGGGCACAGGTGGGGGGGATTTGGGGGGGACCCAGGACCTAAACACCCCCTTTTTGGGGTGGCCTGGGTGGCCCCCAATACCTAAACACCACCTTTTTAGGGAGCTGGGGTGTCTAGTGCCGCCCCTGTTTTTGGGGTTCCTAATACCTGAACCCCCCCTTTCTCCACCCAGGGAACCTCGTCGTGGGTCTCGACCCTTCGTGGCACCCGCGGGACTCCCCAAAAATGGGGGGAGCTGCCCCCCCCCAAACCCAACCTCCCACCGGGGGCTGAGTGAGGGGGGGCCCCAAAAACCACTGGGACCCCAAAAACCACTGTCCCCCCCATCAAATCTCCCCCTTCCAACCCCCCCTGATTTTGGGTCGTGTCCCTCCCCCCCATGGGCTCATCCCAATATTTGGCCCCCATATCACTTTGTTTCACTCCCAAAGCCCCTTGGTTTGACCCCCCTGGAGGGTGACCCCAAATTTCCAGCCCCCAAATCACCTCATTACACCCCAAAACTCCTCCTTTTTTGGGGCCCAACTCCCTCCCATGGTGCAACCTCTACTTTTGGCCCAAAATTGCCTGATTTTACCCCCAAAATCCACCTTTTTTGCTCCCTCTAGGTTGAATCCCCTTTTTTTGGCCCCAAATCACCGTACTTTAACCCATTTTTTAGGTCACTCTCCATTTCACCCTCCCCCCTCAAGTGACTCCACTTTCTGGTGCCCAAAATCCCCTCATTTCACCTCAAATCCCCCTTTTTTGGGGCCTTCCCCACTCTGCATGAGGTGACTCCAAATTTTAGCCCCCAAGTCACCTCATTTCACCCCAAAACTCCCTTTTTTGTGGCCTTTTTCACCCTCCCCTGATATGACCCCACTTTTCACCCCCAAAATTTCCTAGTTTCACCCCAAATCCCCTTTTTTGGGCCTATCTCCCTTTTTTTACGCCCTCCCATGACATGATACCCCTTTTTACCTCCAAAATTACATTATTTCACCTTAAATGTTCCCTTTCCTTCCCTTCCCCTCCCCATGATGTGACCCCACTTTTTAGTCCCAAAATCTTTGTTTCACCCCAAAACCCCTTTTTTGGGTCTGTTCCTGTCTTTGTCTCCACCATGACTTGACCCCAATTTTTACCCCCCAAATGGCCTAATTTTGCCCCAAAACACCAACAGTTAATCCCCAACCCTTCCCTCATCCCCTCATTTATCCCCAAATCCCTCAGTTTGACCCCAGAGCCCCCAAACTCCCATTTTTCACCCCAAACCCAATCCCAGGCCTAGAATCCCTCTTAATGCAGCCACAGCAGAGGGGAACTGGCCCTACTGGCCCTACCGCTCCCCCCTCCACTGGTCGTACTGGTGCCACCGCCCCTCCCCCACCCCCCCCTCTTCCCCCACAGCCCAATTTTGGGTCATTTCTTGTGTTTTCCACTCATCCCGCTTCCCCTTTCGGCGGCCAGTGAATCACGGGTGTTCTACTTCGAGGGAGTGGGGAGGGCGTTTGACTGGGGAGGGGGAAGTTGTTATAAATTGTTATAAAGTGTGAAAAAAACCGTTTAAAAATCGAGAAATAAAGCCCGCGCGCCACACCCAAGATGGCGGCTCGGTGCGACCCCAAGATGGCGGCCGCACTCACCACACTCAAGATGGCGGCGGCGCCCTCCCCAAGATGGCGGCGCGGCCTCCCCAAGATGGCGCCGGGGCCCCGCCCTCGCCCTCCCCGTTTCCGCGTTTGAATAAAACTTTTCCCGGGCGCCCCAAGCGCGCAGAGGCCGAGGCGGCGGAGCCGGAGCCGGGCCGGGGCCCTCAGGGGCGGCGGACACCGCGCGGAGCCGGAGGAGTGGCCGCGGGAGGCGCTCGGGCCGCGCCGCGCTGAGGCCTAGGCGGGAGCTGGCTGTGGGGGGGGCGCGGGCCTCGCGGAACCCCGGAGGCCGCGAGGGGGTCTGAGGGGATTCGGGGGGACCCGCGGGCCGCTGAGGGATCCCACAGGCTTTAGGGGGGGGGTGTGAGGCGTCTGGGGATTCCTGGAGGCGTTTGCGGGGTCTTGTGGGCCTTTGGAGGAGGCCGAAAGGCTTTGCGGGGTCCTGTGGGCCTTGAGGTAGTCCTGTGGGATTTTGGGGGGTTTCGCGGGTCTTTAGGGGATCTCCAAAG